CTTACTGTCTCTAGATCCATGCTCCACCCACACCGTGAATACCAAGGGCACTTCTGCTAACCCGAGCTTCAAAAAGATAGTAGATTTGGAAAAAGTACAGAGAAGGGCAACAAGAAATAGCATTGGTGGTATTGAACAGCGTCCGTATAAGGAGAGATTAAAAACACCAGGACTGTTCATCTTTTAGAAAAAAGAGAGTTCACTAAAGCAGATGATGATAGAGGTCTATAAAAATCATGACTGATGTGGAGAAAGTGTTATTTGCTCCTTCACATAACAAAAAGAAGCGGTCCCCAGTTAGGTGAGCAGGCACCAGAGTGACACAAATCAAAGGAAGCATTTCTTTACACAATGGACAGTTAACCTGTGGAACTCCTTGTCAGGGGATAGTCTGAAGGACAAAAGAACAGCTAGTCTCAAAAAGCACTAGATGTGTCCATGGAGAACAGGCTCCTCAGTGGCTATTAACTAAGAGGTAGGATGCATGCAGCCCCATACTCTGGGTGCCCCTCAAGCTTCAGCTACCAGGAGACGGGACCGGCCAGCAAGGGAAGGACCCGTTCTAGTCATTCCTCTGAAGCACCTGGCACTGGCCACTACTGCGAGACAGGACTGCTGGCCTGACCCACTAGGGCCATTGCTGTTCTTACGTGTCCCCCATGAAAAGTAGGAGCCCTCCCGCAACGTCTTTCCCTGCAGCCACGGTTTCGTGGGTTGTATTTCCGCTACTCACGCCTGCTGAGGGAGGGGACACACTGTGCAGACCGTGGCTCCAAGCCGATGGCCACGTGGAGGCAGGGAGATAGCCAAGGAAGATGGGGGAGAGGAAAGTGAGACGGGCAAGTAGCCTCCATGCCAGGGGCCTGCGAACAGTCGGCATTAGCATATCAGAGGCCAATTGGCTGGGGGGGCAGCCCCCATGCTGGAACGGTCGGAGGGCGGAGGGGAACTGGCAGCATGAAGAAGGGAGGCGAGGCTGGCTACTCAGCAGGGCTCCTAGTTCACATCTGCCCACAGCATGGCGCAGTCAGGCCGAGAACTGCACGTTGGAGCGCCCGCCCGCCACAGAGCATGTGGCTGAGTCCCTAATGGGTCTGTCTGGGCCTTTGCTTCTGCCAGAGCAGAGCAGGGCAGGGCAGGACTTGGGGTCCACTGCAGGAGGTAAGACTGCATTTGGCTCCCAGGAAAAACTCCTCCTCTCTGGCATCCTCCGATGGGTCTGGCTGGTCTTCCCTGGGGATGCAGGCAGCAGGTCCCGCATGGCGTCTGCACAGGGCGGACTAGAACCCATCTAGCTCATCAAAAACCGGACAGGCCGTAGGACCCCTGCCACTCTGCCTCCTTTGGCCCCATACTGCAGCGCACTTTCGCCCGCGCAGCTTCCTATGCCTGGCGCTGCCTGGCATGCCCTGGGGGACTCCCAGCAGTCCTCAGGTTTGCAAAGGCCACAGACGCTTCCTGAATTGACCCTGCCCCCGACAGCGAGGAGATCCAGGGTCTCAGCAGGGCTCTAGCGGCTAAACGATGAGCGCCCAGGCCAGGAGGCTGTGTGCCAGCATTTCAAGGGAGGAAACGCAGGCCTGGAGGTGGGATACCAGAGCAGGAAAGGCGCAGAGCCACTGGACGCAAGTAAAAGCCCCACACAGATTCGATCCAAAGCAAACGGGGTCCGATTTGCAAGCAGCCCGCAGGGCTTGCGATAAACGTGCAATTAGTGACCGATGGGACGGCGTGGGTGGCATTCAAGTATTTTCAAGCCAGATTAACTCAATTTGATCCCCCCTAGAAACGGAACGATACAAATAAAACTAAGCTGTGGTGTGACCTGCCGCACTCTGAACTCGCATGGGAACCGCTGCGCTGCACACGCCCCCGAAGGCCTGGGCTCACGTCTCAAAATGCCTCCGCCAGGAGCCAGAACCCCTCAATGGCGCCCAAAGGACTGAGAGAACATCCAGCTTCCCGCACCAGCCTGGCCCTGGAGACCGGACTGAACACCCAACTACATCTGGGGCAAGCGACCTGAGCAGGCCTGTCCCCTTCAGACTCACGGGAAGATTTCCATTTACTGCCCTTCCACCGGACCGGACCACGCCCGCTGAAAGCTGCCCAGGGCCTGGCTGAGCAACCAAGGGTCCCTGCCGCTCTGGGCGTGGAGGCCGGCCCCGATGCTCAGCATGGAGTAAGTGAGCAGGCTGCATACCAGCGCCAGGTCAACGTGCTGCCTCTGTGCAGAGCGGGCTGTTCCTGCCAGCCCCTTCACCCGTCCCCCCGCCCGATGCCTTGAGCTGCCTGCTCCCCACCGCCAGCCAGGGCACTCGAAGGAGACAGACAGGTGGGGAGGGGAGACCATGGCCTGCCTCTCGACGGCCGCTCTTCAGCACGCGCTGCTCACGCGCACACGCCAGCACTGGAAGGATCCCTAGGGGGCCGCTCAGGACGGCTGTGGAGCCCCCTGGAGGGATGATGTAGCTAGATCCCAGCTGACCTGCCCGAGACAGGGTGGATTAGGCCCTGACGCCCCCCGCTGGAAGCTTGCGGCCTTGCCACACCCTACCCAGGAAAAGAGCAGGAGAGAGGTCCTCCAGGTGGGCCAGAGTGGCTGCAGGGGAAGCAGCCAATCAGGGCCCAGCAAGGCAGTTTAAAGAAGCCACTGGGCCAGAGCCAGCCAATTCCCTTGTAGCGCTCAGCTGCAGGCTGAGGTACTGGCTTCCTGAGCAAGTGGCAGTACCTTGGACAGCTCAGCGTGCGGAGCTCAGCGCAGACTCTGCTGAAGCCCAGGGTCGGCTAATGAAGCCCAGGCATGGCTGGTAGGAAGAATCGCAGAACCCTAGACGGGTGCTGTTGGGACTTTGGTGAGACCAAGGACACTGCAGACTATGGGGAAGTGGCCCAGGGAGCGAGGAGCAATGAAATGTCAAAAGACCAGCACTCAGCAGACTACTAATTACAGAGTCCCCAGGCTGGGACCCAGAGGACTGGGCAGGCCTGGGTCCTGCCCCCCAACCTCCCAGTAGCTACTGGAGGGAAAGAAAGAAGCCTGACCCTAGGCAATCCGGAGGAAGGGGCATCTGGCCCTGGAATGAAGGAGTAGGAGCGTTCAGACACATGCCCTCACCTCCCAAGAGAAGGTGAAACCATTACACTGCTCCCAGCTCAGTTCCTTCTGGCTGGAAGACTCCGACAGAGGGGAGGTGGGCAGGGTTCAGAATGGGCGCAAGCAGCACATCTCATGAATCTCTCATCAGCAAGAGAGACAAGCTCTTCTTCAGGTCTGGGAAACGGACCCAGTCCCAGGGAGCCGCAGCTCAGCAGCTGGGAGAGACGACTTCACGTCAGTAACCAGGAGATCATTCGAGATGAAGTGGCCTGTACCAGCCCGGGGGCGCTGGCCATTAGATCTAGTGGAGAGAGGTGGACGTTTATCTGGGCGCCGGGTTCCTTTGCGGAGGCCGTCCGAGGCCAGACATGGAGCGATTGCTTGGGGAGAAGTATTCATTGGAGGATACTGGGTTTTGCTCTTTTCCCATTTTCCCGTGTGGCCAGAGCAGTGCTAACCTGGCTACACCCACAGAGTGGCTACGGGGCAGTGAGTGCGCTGGATGAGCTGTGCCATGTCACTAGAATAAGGGGCTTGGGGGGTTGTGGACAGACACCTGTCAGGGATGGTCTAGATGGGGCTGGGTCCTGCCGTGAGGGCCGGGGACCGGGCTCCCTGACCTCCCGAGGCCCCTCCCAGTTCTAGGGTTCTATGGGCAAGTGTGTAAGACTTGGGGGGAGGGGCACTGAGTAGTGTGCCCACCTTTCTCCCTTAGGAACACAGCACACAGAACGCTCTGCAGCCCCCCGATTCCTTGTCTCATATCCGCCACCCTTAGGCTGCCTTAGGGAAGCCCTGTCCTCGACTCAGTTCATGGGGCCAAGTTTCCCTCGGATGTTCTGCTCCACAGTCTGGGGTTGCGCACAGGGCTATGGCTTGCCCAGGAGTGGCCGGGGCTTATCCCGACGTCTGCCAACAGAGGCAAGAGCAGTATGGAAACCCCTCTGCAGACTGTCAATACCAAGGGCTCAGCTCCCTCCCCCCATTCTGTCCCACTCACCCTGGGCCATGGCCACCACCACAGTGCTAACTGGGAAAAAGCAAGTTACCCCCATTAGCGTCTCCACTAAGCCCCTAGAGGCCGGACTGCCTCCCTGCGTCCCATGCAGTACAAGCCAGAGGTGCTGCACCCTGGCTGGGAGCGGTTTCCATTGTATTCGGGTTTACAGTTTGGTTCAATTGCTCTCCCCCCCAGAACTGCCCCAGCCCCTGGTGCAGTCGCCACACAGTAAGTGCTGTAGAAACCACACGTGGCTGCTCTTGTGTGTCAGCCAGACAGCTCCCCTCGCTGACGGATACAGGCCAGCGCCTGCCCCAGGCACACGAAACAGCCTTCGGGCCACGCGTTTGCA